TTGAAAATGGGGACCACGTTGGCCCTTTTCCAGTCCTCCAGGACCTGGCTCATGCGCCACGAGCAGTCAAATATTACCGCCAGTGGCTGTGCAATGACATCAGCCAGTGCCTTCAGTACCCTTGGATGGAGCTCATCCGGGCCTGCCGACTTAAAGGCATCCAGTTCCTCCAAGTGACTCTGCACCATCTCAGAGTCTACGCATGGTAGTCTGGCGCCTTGCTACTGCCTCTCTACAATCCCAGTGAGAGACTTGTCCTGCCCCTCACTTAGGAACACTGAGGCAAAGAACTCATTGAGGAGTTCAGCCTTGTCCCCCCTGTCCGTCACCAATTGCTTCTGCCCATTTAGTAGGGGTCCTATTCCTCCCTGGGCCTTCCTTTTACTCCCTATATATCTAAAAAACAATTTTTTGTTATCCTTTACTTGGGATGCCATCCTCAGCTCCATGGTAGCTTTGGCCCGTCTAACTGCCTCCCTGCAAGTGCGAGCAGAGGAGGTATACTCCTCTTTGGTAATCTCTCCCCGTTTCCACTTTTTATATGCTCCCCTTTTAGTCCGCAGGCTGCCCTGGATTTCTCTGGTCAGTCAAGGAAGCCTCCTGGCCCCTTTCCCTCTTTTTTTCATTAGGTTGTAAAATGCTAGTGCTTCTTTAGGACAGCTGGGCGAGTTATTTATCTCCTGTCTACCATCAGGCAAAGTTATCTGAATTAGGACACTGCGGACAGAGTGGAAGCAAACTCTTTTACTATCCCTCTGTAATCCAAGGTAAAGGCAAGTGAAAATGCAAGCTTCAAGAGTGGTAAATGTGTCACTGGAGCTGTAAAACCTTCCTGTACATTTCAGCATCCCTACAGCTCTGTTCCCATTTACTGGGCATGGCTTGTAAAGCCAATTTCTTTTAGGTCACTGGTTTGAATCCTAGCAACACTGGAAATTGCTAGTGACTGATGTGGCATGATCTTAATCCTGGTCCTCCACACACACACACACACACACACACACACACACACACCCCTTCGCTAGAGAAGACTACAGGGCAATACCAGGAGGACCTTAATAAAGGTCAGATGGCCCCAGATTACACCCCATAATATATCTGTATGCACCTCCCCCTTACACTACAACTGGTGGAAGGTCAGTGGCCTATGGAAAAAATGTACTGGAGGTCCCAATCCCATTGCTAACGGGCAGGTTCATTAGTAGGACCAACAGCCAGTTGCTCAACTAGTGTTCAGGCCAAATAGAAGAGAGGGCACCAGGAAGCCTGCTCTGCTCCTCCTTGCTTTGTCCCAGCTTGGGGAACTTTAGTTGCTGGTGCTATGAATATGGGACATTTCACAAGTCTGAAAATCACTTTAAAGTTAAATGGCACAGAAACAAGAGGCAGCCTGAGACTGGCATCTTAGTGCTGTCCTCCAGTGGAGAAACAGGACTGCATTGCCACCTAGTGGGCACTGGGCTGAAGGTTTTCAAGTGGAATCAATGTGGAGAGCTGACTTCTCAGGCTCCCTGCAGCACGGTTTGAAGGCTGTACCCACTTTGTGTTGGTCAGTCAAGGCTTCAGCAAGCAAATAGTGAACACCCTGCTCTGTTCAGTGCAGCTAGGTAAGTCAGGATGCAAGCATGAGTGCCTAAGCTTGGTGAGAGAGCAGTAGCAAGGAGGGAATGCCGTTCAGCTTGGATGTGCGCATGCTGATCTAAACACCCACGTGAAGCAACTGTCCATGACCCAACAGTATCACGAATGGGATCTGACTGCATAGGGAAAACATTTATTTGG